ATATATATATATATATATATATATATATATGTATGCGTATCTATCCCCAGTAGAAGGGGCATCTCTCTTTCTCCATCTGTCTATTTATCTATCTATCTTTCTCCATTACCTTGAAGATTTTCTACGTAGGTAGATATCGTCAAGTGGTAAGATAGGTAGGTAGGTAGGTAGGTAGGTAGATAGGTGGGTAGCTAGCTAGCTAGTCAAGCTGCAGATCGCGTCCGTTTCGCGTGTCCGCAATTTTTCCGCTAGAGAATCCTAGCCGGTTGTTCCATAATGCATGCCGCGACTTGCAATGCCTGTATATATACGATGCAGCCATTGCCGGACGTTCTCATACACGTAGAAAGAGAAAGAAGCAGGAACCTAAGAGTGAGAGAAATAGAGAGAGAGAGAGAGAGAGAGAGAGAGAGAGAGAAGGGTGTAGTAGCAAGGAATGAGAGCGAGAAGGTTTTTCGTTATGATTGTAATCTTAGAACCAGACCAGCCGCAGGCATTCAGACTGACCAGACGACCAAGCCCATGATACTTCTAGCTCTCGTTTTCTTGTCCTTCTCGTCTTTTTATTTTTCTTCTATTTCTTTTTCCTTCCTTCCTTCCTTCCATCTTTCCTTCCTTTTTCTTTTCCTTTTCCTTCGAACTTGTACTAGAAACGAAAACGTGCCTTTAACGTTGTCCTTCCTGCTTTCGGACAAACTGACGCGAGTCCTCCTTCTCCTCTTCCTCTTTCTCCTTTTCTTCTTATTTCTTTTTTTTTTTTGCTTAGACTCTCATCTATTCGTTTACTCGTATTTTTCTGCCTCGCTTGCCGTCTAGTCATTCGAATGCTTCAAATTGTTCTGGATAACGTCCAATATAATACGCTTACAATTTAAAATCTTTTTATGATTATTATCATATATATATATATATATTCGTTAATATAAATTGATTTGTTTAAGGGTTACTATAAAAGGGTATAATAATAAAGTTTATACGTTTTCGATCGCGATAAATCAAACAAATATATGCATATATATATATGCGCTAATTACAATGGATTTATACACGTTTCGTTTATTCCTCCAATCGGCGTACATTTATCCACATATGATGAGAATACTCGTTATCTCCATTGCACGAAAAATTTGATTCCACCATAATCACACTAATTCTCTATATAATCGCGGAAGGATAGGAGAGATATGGCTATTGGATAAGTACGTGCATGTATACACATATTTTGCGTATCCTCGCGCAAACAAATTTATTCGTTATCGAATGAAATGAAATGATCGAAATCCGGGTACGATTATCCCTCAACTTTAAATACCGATAATTAGCTATCAATTAAATGTGAACACGAACGATTGAAATTATTCTCGCCGATATTCGTATCTTTCCGGTCGTTCATTCGTTGACTCGTTGATACGTTAATTCGTTCATTCGTTCATTCATTCATTCGTTCTGCAAATTCTCATCGTTTAAAGTAACTTTATTACGTTTCTCGGATCGATTCTAACGATCGCGACTGTTGCTGGGTTATCGCATACGCAGTTCTATTCTATAAGTATCTTTACTTCTTTTTCGATTTGCCACGCGTAAAAGAGTTGGGCGGATCTAGTAAATCTCTTTCAAGGAAAAGGGATAAAAATGTTCAGTTAAACTTATTTCTTAGGATCATTAGAGGTATTATTATTATGAAATTATAGGTTACTAATATACTATCGTTGATCTAGTCGGTATATATCGTGTTTACTGTCTTTAGACTTTCCTCCTATATGTTAGTCGTCTTCTTTACACTATCCTTTATATAAAAAAAAGAGAGAGAGAGAGAGAGAGAGAGAGAGAGAGAGAGAGAGAGAGAGAGAGAGAGAGAAAGAGTTAGGAAAAATGTACGCGCGGAGTAAGAAAAGAAATGGTAACACCGAATAGAAGAAGGATGGAGAGATCTAGGGAGATGAGAGAAAAGAACAGGAGGAAGGTAATGCCTTGCCCAGAATGAAATTCTTATTCCGCATTCTGCGTCGGCAGTTTGCCCCACTGCAGTTGAGTAAAGTGGTGGAAAAGAGTGGTGGCACGGATAAAAATGTGGAAGTTGCCGGGTGGTATGCTTTACTTTTTTTTGTTCTCTTTTTCTTTCTCTCTCTCTTTCTCTCTCTTTAAACCCGGAATTCAAATCCGTCGAATGAAATAAAAAGCAGCAGCACGGAGGAAAAGTCGCTAACTCTTCCTTTTTTCTTTCAATCTCTATCTCTATTTCGATTCCTCTTCTTTTGCACTTTTTTATTCTTGTTTCATTATTAAATAACGTAAACAGAGATT